GGTGAGGACCCCCAATGCAGCTTCTCACAACTCTCCAGTGAGCCAACAATGTCTCCCTTCAGTCATCTCAGTCTCAGCACATTAAGTTCTGGGGCATGTTAGGCTGCCAGGATTGTGTGCTCACTGCCCATTCTGTCCCTGGCCATCCACTGTGTCCCACCCTGCAGATGGCTTCAGGCTGCTCAGACCTCTCTTCTCAGGGCTGCTCTCACTCCTGCCCAGGCACATTTCTACATTTATTCCTGTGATGTGCTCCTGCCCTTCTACACCCTATCCCAGCCAAGCAGAGACCTTCCAGGGCACTTACTAAGCTAGCTGAAAGTGAACAGTGAGCGCTTCACTGGGTTCTCACCTGGGGCCAGATATCCACCCTCTGCATGTCCCCCTTGGCTGGGGGTGCTTTGATCTTTCCTACCCCTTCTGGCTGTTTCCTATCCATCTGACTTCCCTGTTCCCTATGACTGTTCTCTGTGCCTCTACGCTCCTACCTCTGGCTTTCCCTGCCCACTTTGGTCCCCTGACTTCTTCCAGTTTCCCCTGCTGGTTCTTGTTCCCTTTGTGTGGTCCCCATTGGACTATTCCTTGGTCCCTCTGTTTACTTTTACCTCTAAATGTCTTTTGTTCTTTCTGAGTGTCCCTTGGTCTCTTTCCTGATCCCCCTATTTATTGCTCTCTCTGATTATCCCTGGGTCTCTCTTAACTGTTCTGTGTTTCCTGTCTCTTCTCTGACTGATCCTTGGTGCCTCTGACTGTCCTGTGTTCCCTTTGACATTTGTCCCTCTAGCTAGTGATCCTTAGTCTGTGGCAACACTTTTCTGATTGTGCCCTAGTCCATCTGGCTGTTCCCTGGTCCTGATGAGCTTTTCTCATTTCTTCTAGTAGACACAGACTGACTGCCATTTGAGTCCTCTGACTACTCTCTAGTCTAGATTTTTTCCTGCTTCTTGGGCAGTTCTGGAATGCACTGCTAGTTCATTCTCACCTGATGCTGCTCTCTCTGGTCCATGGAACACACTTTGTGGAGTGCAGGTCTACTTGGCTCCTAACCTAGGCTCTTCACCATCGAAGTATACTACTTCTGTGTGCTCTGTGCTACGGCTGGATTCTGTACTTTCGCTTGCTGCATCACTTACATTATATCTGACTATTGGCTGAGTCTTCTGTTTCATGCTCAGGATGACCAACAGTCCCAGTTTGCCCAGGGCTTTCCATATTTTAGCACTAGAAGTTCCCCATCCCGGGAAATCCCTGTCACTCTACCCTGGGGAAATCTGGCTGATCCCCAGCCTCTCCCTAGATTCAGTAACTGTCCTTAGCTCAGTGCCCACTGCCTGGGGTCTGCTAACTAGCTTCAAGAACCGATACTATGCCTTCTGGGTGTTCTCTAGTCCCTCTATCAGTTGCCTAGTCAGTCAGGATGTTATCCAATATAAGACACTTTTTGGGGAGATTAATTCTCACTTGAGGATTTTC